ATAAATTCCTTAACATAACAAAACATATACTGTTATTCCATTTTAATCGAATTCATAATCAATCTGTCAGTTAGTCAATCAGTTACAACGTAGGACCAGGAACATATATGCACATCAGTCTAAGTTGCCATACCTCGTTAGCACAACAAGATGAACATCAAATTCATAGAAGTTGTCACTTCAATGGCAGTAATGTATAAAAGAAAGATGGCAATAAGGATATAACAGAGGGAGAAAGAATTAGTTGATAGAAAAAAAAATATGAAGTGATTTAAATCTCATAGTTTAAGGGAAGATAGAGAGTGTATATACCTACATCATTGTGATTGATTCTCAGCCATGTCACCCTGAGTCTCCAACCATAAGTTACGATAGTCAAACGGCTGTCGATAATTGATAGTTTGTATTTGAATATGAATGACTTAACTCACAGTTCACTTTATCCAATGTAGTAGTTTATATTACTCTACCATACATGATAAATATATATTTCTCTTTTTTTTGTTGTTGTTGTTGGTATTCTCATATCTGCGATTGATTTTAACCAGGAAATTTTTTTTATTATTTTACAATTTAATTCATTGTTTACAAACAACTTTGTGACTGTATTCATCATCATCATCATCATCCTCATCACATACACACAGATACACAAATAAAAATTCTAACATTCATCCTCCTTGCCTCCCCATCTCTCGCTCTTTCTATCTCTCTCTCGCTCTCCTTCTCTCTGTAAGTATTTCAGCATGAATGACAGTTCAAAATCAACGAGGAATTTCATTCAAATTATCTATGTTTGTTTAATGTTTCATTCTATATTTCTCTTTATTTTGATGTCACTTATAATTATAATTTACTTCGATCATATTAGATAGATTGCATGAATGAAATGGAATCCTGATGTTTAAAATGTGTCCGACATTTTAGAAAAACAAAAAAAAACAGAAAAAAAAACAATGGATAGAATGATCATGTAAGAACTAGAAATCCTATGTAGGAGTCTGTCTATATTAGTACATAAACCTCCTTAAGCAATGATAGTGTAGTGAAGGGGAACAGGGGTGGGTATAACCGAACTATATTCAGCACGAAATCACAGAGTTACTTGGTAAAATAGAAAATCTATACGATAATACATAATTTGCGAAATGTTCAATAATTGTCTCGAACTTCGCTGTTCTTGCATTTCCATACTAATTGCTCTCTATTCCCGTTCTTCCTTTCTTGATCTTTCCCATCTTCTGCTGCCAGACATTACATTACTGACTCGCGTCATATACTACTTATATCAATATAAGTAGCACGCACCACAATAGTAGATTATCAAAATTTCATTGAGAGTGTAAAATGAGGATATTGAATTGTTATTGCTAATATGATTACTTTAAATCAGGATTAGAAATGAATGATTAACATTTAGATTGTTAATCAGCTTAGAATGTAACAGTATCATCATACATTATGGATGGAGGGTTCTGTTCTCTGAGCTGGATGGTTTGGTCGTGGAGCTTTCATCGTCCTTCTGGATGGAGGGTTCATTTTTTCCAAAAATAAAAAAGAATAAGACTACCATTTAGGGGATTGTAATCGTGAACTCAAGCAATTAGTTACTCGTCCAAATAATACCGTAGAAAGATTATACTTTTTAAGCCAATTTAGATAAATACATGTGTGTAAATTCGCTAGATGTTGAATGGAATTTATAACTCGAAGACCAAACTGTGTCAGATGTGAAACATTTACTCATCGAAGACAATAGAAAATGGTAGCGCAGTGTCATGTATTGGGTGATTTTAGAAATTAGCACTGTGCATATGTTAACATGTCTATAAAGTAACTCCATTTTAATTGAAACAATCCAAAGTCTTACAATTGTTGTACACTTCTGTAAACTTCTATCTAAATTCACTTGGTATTGTTTACTTGAATCTTCCCATTGTTATTTGCGATTGAAATTGATCAGTCTCTTATTGGCATATGTGCGTTGTGGGCTGATTGCCTCGACATTGTTTTAATTCACGTGCATTCTAAGTAAAGATGGATAATGGCTAGTAGTGGAATCTAGGACTCAAAAGGTCAATCGATGGTAATCAAAAATGAACATAAGGTCAAGTGCACTACATCGGGGTCAGTGGGTCAATTCCCTAAGGAGGTGATATATATGTGAATGAACATTTGGGCATTTTATTCGGTAGTCCAATCTTCTTCTCTGTGTGTGTGTGTGTGTGACTATTTCAGCATGAATTACAGTTCAAAGTTAGCGAGGAATTTCATTCACCGTCTATTTTTATTTAATGTTTAATGCTAGACATTTTATGCTTACGGAATTCGAATTTTCTGTAGTTTTTCATTTAGTATCAGTCTGTGATAAAAATTATTTTCACATTAAACAGTAATTGAAAGTCCCTGACAGTCAGTTGTGAATTCTGGCAACCAATTAATCGCCCTAATAATGTAATGGAAACTTTGAAGCTCTACATCAATTTAGATAAATACACGTGTAACTTTGCTAGACGTTCCATGAAATATAAAGCATGAGGACTAAACGGTGTCAGATGTGAAGCAGTGACTCATCAAAGACAATAAAAGGCGGCAGCGCAGTGTCGCGTGTTGAAAAACGTTAGAAATTAACACTGTGGGATAAGGGCTCAGTGGTCTAAAGGTTAAGCATTCGCGTGTGGGATCCTAGGCCCTGGGTTCTATCTTCAGTGTTGACGTCATATATGCCCGCTCCTGATGATTCCTATACTAGATCAAAACGGCCGTCCAGTGTTTTTAGATTTCCAATGGTGATCGTGCTCAGATCGTTTCATGATTTCAATGAGGTTCGACAATCTTCACAACTTCATACTGACAAAGACTACACAACAGTCGGATACCGACTAGAAATCAAACAATACCACTCCTAAAGTTTTAATGAGAGGACTTGGCAGATGAAGTTCAACAATGTCAATAGTGAAATAGTTATCACCGATAATTACTGATTATGGTTAGTGAATAGGTTAATGTTGGAAATCTGAACCATCAATTGCTAACTCAATTGTTTGATGTTTATGCGATCTGAGTTCGAGACATTGAAGGTTTGTGAATGCATATTGTGGCAAAGCAACTTGTACGTCTTATTAGTTTTCAAAGAGTATCCAACTGAACTCAGTCTGTTTTTTGCCTAAAGACATCAGCTAATATTAGATAATAGATATTCATTTTTGTTTATGTAGACCACTTGTTTAGCGAATACATCCAATTTAGTGAAAAACATTATTTCTCAGAATTTCTTATCTAAAGAGAGTCAGTTTTTTTCTATTATGAATAAATAAACCTATTGTATCGTCCTTGATACCGTAACACTGTGTTATGGGGTCTCTTTTCTCTCAAATTTTAAATGTGGTCAAATCGACCTATAGTAACTTATTGAGAAACTTCTATCCGAGATAACAAGCTTAAGACATTTCAATATGAAGATTTGAGAATTTCAGATATGAGTCACTATGGCATAAATTTTGAAATATACTGTAATTGAGAAAGAAACCTTAATAGATGATCGAATTGTTATGTAGATTTAACTGAATTAGGATTGCTTAAGTTTTATTTCTTTTTTAAAAGTTTAACTACTATCATCCATAATAGTAGTACAACTGTAAACATGAAAACATTGTTCTTAGTGACTTAAATGCTTTCAACTTTGAATTATTAAACTAATCTGTAAAACAAGTTCATGCTTTCTGATTAGCATATTACAATTGAAATGAGACTACGTTAAATTGTTTTTACATCAAAAACTTTTCTCCGTTGGTTTTACAAGATGTTAATTATGAAGTGATAAGTGAACATTCATTTTATAGATATTTCAGGAAATAACATCTTAGTATTTGAGAACTTGCATTATTCCAGGAGGAATTAATTACATTATTAACAGAGACTTTTTTGATCATAGAAAATTCTGCCTTTATGAACGTATCTAATTCACAGAATGAATTCTGAGAAAATGAGTTAATAAAGCGATGTCTAATTCAATGGACGTTACCTGTTGTAATTTATGTCAATTCATAATCATGATTTAGCGCTCAAATTTCCTGTGCTTTATTTGTCAAATAGGTGGAGATTTGAAGAAGGTCAGATGTTTAAAATTATTCCACCTAAAATTGTTATTCATTTTTTCAAATTTTAATAATTGAATTCATTAGTCAATCTAAGCTAGACTGCCATTAGAAAACCGGAAGCACTGAATGACCATTCCATTCTTGTATAGGACTCATCAGGAATGCGCATTCATGACCATTCACATGGGACTCAAACCAAGGACATTCATTCTTACACTCCAACGCTTAACACCTGTAGACTATCTTCATTAGATCTACGATTTTGCGCAACCCCTTCATCCATTACTTGAGGTGGATGACTATCTCTACTCGACACGGGTTAGACTCCACAGATTACTGCTTCTAATTATAACTCCAGGAAATCCATCTTGAAGCTTGTCACTAGAGAGTAGATGTTTATTATCAGAATTAAAATTTGTGAAGATTGTAATAATTTTAATTATTGAATTCATAAACCAATCTAAATATATATTGAACATATCAATGAGCTAATTTTAATATTCCCTCGATATTTAGATTTCCTTCTGATGGTCACTCTTCTGTTGTATACTTTTCAAATTCTCTTAGTTACCATTAATATAATTACTAAACTATTACAACAGTTGAGACCACAATAGGACGGAACGGTCGTCCAATGCTTCCAGGTTTTCCATGGTGGTCTAGTTTCAATCGACTCATGATCTCAACTATTGAAATTACTAAAATCTCCACAAAACCCCTTCCCATTACTAAACTATTAGTCAGTTTTCCTAAGGATAAAAATATGTAAGTCCTATATTCCGTCCATTATTAGTCATTAATTATTACATAATTCATTTTGTCCATTTTTATTTTTGTAATTTTGTTGTTGTTGAAAATGTCATAGTAACAATTTTTTTTTGGTATTATTGATTATTTAAGATAACAGATAATAATGATGTTCATGATGAAAACTCCAATGCAACTAACAATAATTTAAACCAAAATAAATATCAATTTTATGAACAGATTCATGATAATCAATATGAACGGAATGTAACTATTTATCAGTAAGTCATTTATATTATATTTTTTTAAAAATCAATTATTGATGAAATAGTTCAATTGTAAAGATCTAGATATTCATAGACAATAGTGTTGTTTTTGATTGAGATCATGAATTGATTGATGTTGGACCAGCATTGAAAACCTGGAAGCACTGGATGGGTGTGTCACCCTATCGTGGGACTCTTTAGTAGTGCGAATCTACGATCTCGTCTCGCGGGATTCGAACTCAGGGCCTTCAGTCTCGCGCACGAACGCCCAACCTCTAGAGCACTGTGTCGATATCTAACTGTGGTAGTGTTTAACCTCAACCAATCCACGAAATTGCGCGACCATTTTCTATTTTACTGAGGTAGATACCTGTTTCTACTCGACACGGAGCTATTCCGTGTGGAGTATACTGATAATAATCTTTTTTCTGACTGTAATCCTCGTAATTTACATTATTGCATATTCAAATCGATGGTAAATTCATTGAAAGATTCAGATAAAACGATTGAATCTCAAGTAAAATCCTGAAACAGTAAAATAAATGATCTACCACTAGAAAATTACTATTATTACTGATTACGTATGTAATGTACATTACAAAATTCATTGATTAAATAACTTAAGGTATTCATAGACATCAAGATAAAATCAATAATGCCAGGATTTTGTGTATAGTTATAATAAACATTATCAAAATTTCTCATAGGATATTGAAGAAGAGAATAAGCTAGCGATAAAGATTTTTTTTGACAACTTCTTCATTTAACTCCACACAAAGATCGGAGAGTAGCTAGCTGTGGAACATTAATTCTGAGATGCAAGTACATCCAGCTGACGAGTCCAAAATAGGATGAAACGTCATCTATTCGATTTTAAGACACCATCCAACTCTGTTTATAATTATTGTGAATTAATTGAATATCGAGATAGTGGGCATAGGATGCAAATATGCCGCTAAGAGACTGATCAATTACAGTCCTAAACATCAAGATGAAGATTCAAATCAATTTAAACTCTACACAGTTATATATCTGAAATTATCATTGTTTTGTTATAATCGATAAAATTGAAAATGACAAATTTCAAGTCGATTACGTCTTAAACATTTACAGAATAACTTGATTGTCAATGTTAAATAAAGGTTAAATATATAAGGGCATGAAAAATCATATCCCTTAAAGGGCTTAGTTCTAATTAATATTGTTGAAATTGTATATAGTATGTTAGTCAGTGAACAACAACTTAGAAATTCGTACTTACGGACATCAGTTCAAGTTGCCATACCACATTACCGCAGCGATAAAATTATCAATTCAAATACCATAGTGGTAGAGATAGTTAAAGTATAGGCAGTAATCGGAAAGAGTAGGGTTTGAAGATGTCATTTGAGGCGTATAATCCAGCGAAATAAATTTGGAAAGTGAAAAAAGGGACATGAATAATTCAAAAGATTAAAATTCGGGAGAAAACAAAGAGTCGATGCACCTGAACCATTGCAAACGATTTTCAACCATGTCATTCAAGGTCTCTAACCATTGGTTGCTATCATCTCGTAGATCCCCAGCAGGTAGTCTACACCTAACAACATGTCCACTTGTCAGTGACTTCATGGACTTGTGCCATGTTTTGGTATGGCCACCCGTAGATCTATTCCAACCTACTCCTACACCATGAAACATCGCTCGCCGAGGCAATCGGTGGTTGGGCATACGTAACACATGTCTCAGCCATTTCAACTGATGAAGTAGTAGTAGGTCATCTGCGAAGTCCATTGTATGCCATGTTTTCCCTCAGATGTCTAGGTCTTCATAATCCAGTCGACCGTCGGAAAAAATAGGAAGGGAGAAAGTAGACAGCCTTTTCTGTCTCCGTTCCTTACTTGGAATGCATCTGTCAGCTGTCCTCCTCCTCCTCGATGGAATACTGGACGTTTATTTCCTACAATAAACGCTTTACTTCTAGATCAACATTTAAATCTAGTTCTACAAAAACAGTAACGATAATTCCTTCCTACTACTATCGAAATTTTGATTGTTGTAAAAAGTGTCCAGCAAAATATCTTGAAATATTGTAACAAATCTCAATCTTACATTCAGTTAGCTTGTGAATACATGAACAACGCTTTACATCAATGTGTAAAGATTCGATGGATTAATTTCATTGTATTAAACATCATATTACACTTTTCTATCCATGAGAAAGAGATAAAGTGATGGCAAATCTTTATTTAGCATTCACTTTACATAGTGCAAGATCAAACCAAAACGTGATTGTGATTGTGAGCAACTGTAATTATAATGAACTGAGTATAAATCGTATAATAATAGTTTATAGGTGCAAAAAACAATCTATAGTAAAAGGATTATAGATTTGCATAATCTAGTTACAATAAGAATATATGTATAATACTGTTCTTTTTGAATAGCTCTCACAAGCTGCCGATAAATTAATCTTCACTAGGATATTACAGGATTAGTATAGGATGAAAAACTATTAACAACACTAGTAAGTTGGATTATTTATCCGGATTAAAAAACTATTCAGCAATACCCATCCATGACTTTACATAAAGCCTATCAAAGATCATCAGATCTTGCTCAAGATAAAGTACATTGCTATCATTATATGGTAATTTATTATTTGAAATGTTTATCACTACCGAATTATCACTTCGAAAAGAGCAAGAACAAACATTCTAGCAGAATAGCATGAATTCATTTTTATTTCGTAGGTTCTCGTCAGCTGCTTACAACTTGTGATATTTAAAAATCATGTTACCGCCAACTGTATTTATAAATTTACGTATACCTGCCAAAGCACCTACATTGGCCGAACTGAAAGGAGTGCATATCTTCGATTTTTTAAACATGTTCCAAAAAGTCTTAGAACAAGGGAAAGAAAGACTCTGAATAGTGCAATCACTAAACATCTCCTTGATACAGGACATCAAGTAGATACCTTACAATCCTTTAGGGTGATTAGTAAGCAGCCAACTCCAGTCTTCTAATGTTTGCTGAAGCCGTTACCATCAGGCGTCAAAAACCTGACCTATGTGTTAACAAAAGTAGACGGTGGTTAATCTTTCCTTGCCCTGGTGATAAATATTCTTTCGCTGCACCTTAAAAATCTTTTTCTTTTGTATCTATTACATCATTTATTTTATTTTATTTTTTCAACTATCTTTCAACTGAACTCTACTCACTATATTCCTATCAATGTTTATTCATTATGTAATCAATTGTTTCTAACCCACTTTTGAACTGTTGTCATAATCAAGGTTGTAGAATATTCTTTCATATATGGTATATATATTTACAATACTCAGTCTATTCAATTTATTTACACCCTTGTTATACTATACGAATATATCTTCAATATAACTTCCAACCAAACCTTTTCATGTAAGTAATGGAAACCCATTATTTAATTATGATTTCTAAATATCACAGGTTGTAAGCAACTGACGAGAACCTACGAAATAGAAATGAATCCATGCTATTCTGCTAGAATCTTTTTTCTTACTCTTTTCAAAATGATAAAGGGAACTATGTGTAGCAAATCATTGCTTCATAATATCTTTACATCTAAAATGAACTGTGACTACTTAATCTCATTATAAGTACTATAACTATTATCTAACAAATTTTAAATGTTAGAATCGAATAATTTCCTACTGAACATTGATATCGTTTTATTAATTATTCCCTTTTAAATGCTTGTCTTTTTTTGTTCAATTGTTTCTCAATAGTGATACTCCTCCGAATGTTGCAAACCTACTTGGAAGTTATTCACCCCAATCACTTGTAGATCGGGCAAGTTATTTCAATTGTTTTCTCTTCATATAGTCATTAAGTGTATAAGGTCGTTTTTTTAAAAATTGAACAATTAGAAGAAAATATTTTGATCAGAATTGATCATTGTTGAATCTTTTTTGTTGTTTAAGTAAAGCATAATAAGTCAATTATTGTTTAAGCAAACAATTAACCATATACACTGATAAGTAGTATGTTAACGAAACGTTTACAGTTTATAGAATATATTTACCCATTCCGGATAACGATGATTATTATATTCGATAAGTTAGGTGACTAGTAACACTCCAAATATATATTGACTATTTTGAAAATTCACTATTCACTATTGTTTACCGTTTGATTATTGACAAATGTCATAATTATATAACCCTTCAGTGACGATTAGATTCTATCGATTTAGTCTTAGTTGATCATGATGACGTGCTCTTTTTTTTTATATCAGTGCAGCGCTAAATAAACATGACAGTGACCAATACTACTTGATCAACAAACAGTAGGTCAGTATTATCCTGATTAGCTCAGTGGTATCAACTCAGACTATGAAGCTGAATGAAGCCTGTCCGATTAACACGAGGAGAATCATTCCCACGTTGAGTGTCAGATAGTATGAAATTTAAGTCTAGGATTTCTGGTCAATGGCTCCAAACCGCTTAATCCTAAGTGATACTGTTTGAGGCAACGACGGTTAAATTTCTTTGTCAAAATAATAGTAAAAACAAATGACTGGTCCGTGTATTTTACTGATGGAACGATTGACTTTCTACAACGTACATTTTGTCAGTATGGAAATTTGTGGAGATTATAGTATATTTATGAGCCGACTAAGTGGTCTAGAGGTTAAGCGTCCACGCGCGAGACCGAAAGTTCTAAGTCCAAGTCCTGCGTGTGAATTCGTGGATTGGTACTTTTGAGGAGTCCCGTATTAGGGCGGAACGGCCGTCAATGTCTTTCAGGCTTTCATTGGTGATGTAGCTGAGATCGCCTAGTGAATCCAAGTTTTTAGTGCATCTTTACATTTAGTTATCTAATAACTACTCATTGAATAAAGAGTGGTCAGAGAGATAGCTTGTTGATTACTAGACTCAGCTTTCCTATGTTCTAAACCTAGGTTACCTTTTTCAGTTTTAATAACTAATGATAAGTATCAGTAGTTTCAATACATGTTGTTGCTATATTCGAGAAATTAAGATGTCACCTTGAACCAGAGAACGAAACGAAAATCAACAATGCAACAACAGAACAAGCTAAACTGTTGCTCCGCACCACAGATCTACTAACTAGAAGAAGATCAGATTTAGCCGGATAAATATAAAACTCCACAAACAGCCCAGAAGAACGAATAACAAACATAGAACTCATGCGTAATATATACAATACAAAAATGTATATGAAAAGTATTATCAAATAGCCTACTAAAAGAGAAAACTAACCAATAACGTTGAAGGTTCTTCCATATGAGAAAATCAAACTTTTCACAATGAAAATACAAAAATAAGAAGTTTATCAAATGATTTCTGAGGATCTAGTATTCTAAACAGTTGTGTATCTCAAAATTAAGCGATTGTACATTGTAATACATGAATTAATTAGTACGTCTAGTCAAACATATAGAACATTGACTACGCACTTGATTATATGATGAGTGTTTTGTAAGTAAAATACTAATTTTGACAGAGATTAATAGTTCAACTGGATGCTTCGTAGTATCAATGAGTTTTTTTGAGGTAGATGATTTTACTTGAAAGCATTTATAAACATTCTGAAAACATTATTATCATTATCATTCTGGACAATGTCATCAAAGTTCTGCAATCAAATCAATCTGAATTTAGATAACGATGACAACAACATGAAGAGTTTTGATAAGCTCAAAACTAAACGGAAACAACTGTCCACTGCTACATTGTTTCCAAGTTAACTCTTTAAGTTACACCGGGTATGTAATAGTGAGGTTAGACGCAGGGTATTAGGAAATGATGATAAATCAGTTGATAAGGTTGTGAATCTTCATTGACTGAGATAGTTGGGCCACGTATTACATATGCCTGAACATCGATTATCATGACGCCTAATACTGACTAGTGTTGGGGGTGGTTGGAAGACAGGTGCGGACAAACCAAAACGTAGCATCAGTCATTGAAGTCACTAACTTCTAGTCTCAGCTATGTTAGCAGATGCAGACTACATGGTTGGAGTCCGCGTGACTATCGTAACTAATGGTTAGAAATTGTAGGTGACATGGCTCAGAATTGATCACAATGATGTAGGTGTATACACTCTTTGTCTTTCCTTAAACTATGAGAATCAAATAGCTTCATACCTTTTTTCTACCAACTCATTCTTTCTCCCTCTGTTATATCCTTATATTCGATCTTTCTTTTATACACTACTACCACTGAATTAACTACTTCTATGAATCCGGTGTTGATCTTGTTGTGTTAATGCGGTATGGCAACTTGGACTGATGCCCATATATGTGCCTGATCCTACGTTGTAACTGACTGACTGACTGATTTTGTCTTAGAAGATATTCCTGTTCTTCAACATTTGTATTCTAAATTTATATCATTTATTATTATTGCTAATGAACACATTCGAACTTTTCTTTTTTGTTTCTATTATTTTAAACTAGAATGAATATGTGAATATACCACAGTCAAAATTAAATAATGATCAATTATCCTTGACAACAAATGCATTTCCTACTTATATGATACTTCCATCATCCGTTTCATCATTAAATGATTATTTAATATCCATTCCTAATTCATTATCATCATTATCATCAACTATATTGAATAAAACCGATATTAGTATTATAAATAATGTTAATAATGATGATTTATTAATGGATACATCATTTTTATCAACAGTACCTGAAGAAGATTTGGATATAGGTGATATAACTAGTTCGAATAAAACAACACCACAACAAAGTCCTTGTAAAAAAGTTTATTCAATGAAACAAATCAATAATAATTTGTTGGAATCAATTCAGAATAATAATAATAATAGTAATTCTGAAGATCTTCATGATATTGTCCATCATAGTTCACCAAAGTCTTTATCACCAGTTACTATGTAAGTTGTGTATGTTTACAGATTTTTAGAAATATATCGATATGTTTGTGGTACATATCGATAATCAATACATTATTCAATGCCATAATGTTGGATTATACTGAAAAAGAACTTGATAGATCCTCGTCTTTTTATCCAATTAACATGTGAACATTTAGAAAGTACTCATAGAAAAACGTTTTGTTTCGATTAGCAACAGACTGTCATTTATCGTTACCTATGAACAGTTTAAATTATTTTTTTTATAAGATACATTTACTTATTGCGTAACATTAAGTCAATTGACAGACAGTCCTAAAGTCCAAGAGTTATCTAAAAAACTGTCCTATTATGACAAAATATAAGTAAATTGATTGTAAACCTCAATTGCGGAAGTATTTATGCTGGCTAACACGTTTATATTCGTAGAAGAGAAACATATGTCTCAAATAATGACAGGAAAAGTAATTACAATATACAATATCGCAAATAACGACTGGTAAGTTACTACAGATCATCAATAAACAAACGGCTACTAAGAGCCCGAAAATGTGGACCAATTGCAAGTGGAAAACAGGCTTCAAAAGTATACAAAACCTGTTTAGAGAATATAATTATAACAATAAACAAAGTGAATGTCATTATGAAAAGAAATAAGAATGTTACAGGACATCAACTATACACTATGTTCAAATGTTATTAAAAACGAAACGTGTTACTGAATTTATATACAAGTAGTATAAGTTAATACGCAAAAATAGTTGAACTCCAAGAAGGAGCGTAAACGGACTTAACATTATATTTAATTCATGAATTATTTTATCGTTTTATCAAAGTAAATACGCAGAGAGTAATCTGCCAACGAACTTGAATGTTACAGTAATTAGGTTTGTATTTGAGTAATCAGATTTTATTAAAACCAGTAAATACATTAAATCGTCAAACTGCATCACGAGGCAAGCGCTAACTTGGAATCCTGAAGGGGAAGCGTAAAAGAGGAAGGCCAAAGAACACATTACGTCGGGAAATAGAAGCAGATATGAAAAGAATCAATAGGAACTGGAAGGAGCTGGAAAGGATTGCCCAGGACAGGGTTGGATGGAGAATGCTGGTGAGCGGTCTATGCTCCTTCACCAGGAGTAACAGGCGTAAGTAAGTAAATAAATACATTGGGTCGTTAACTAGATTCAATAATGTATGTACTTTAAGTATTTCGGCTATATCTTCACTGAGATTTTAAAATTTATGATTCTTTTTTGAAAAAAATTCATTTTTACAGATTACACACTGCACAATCACTTCATAATAAAGAAACTGAATTGTACAGTAATTCATCTAGTCAAATATGCTCTGATGAAAATGTTGAATTACAATCATTATCACCATCATCATCGTCATCACCACCACCACCACCAGTGTTATCAAAATTATCTCAAAATTCTCCATCTCAGTCTCAAGAAATTTCAGATAGTTATTGTGCTCGTCCTAATAGAAAACAAAAACGTTATCGAAATTCCAGAGCACCAGCACCCCCTACACCAACAACAATAAGCACAGCTGTAACAAATTCACCTTCTACTATATCAATACCTCTTAGTACGTCAATAAATCAATCAGTGATAGAACCACCACCTCCACCTCGTCGATCAATGCAAAAGAATCCTGATACACCACATACTAGTGATTCAGATACAGACGACAAAGATTATAAGAATTTAATGAGATCTCGACAAATTCATCAAGTTTCAGATAAATTACCATCAAGTCTGTAAGTGTTAATAACTAAACAAAACGATACTATTTGTGTTCTCTAGAAGAGGGAACAACCAATTATCTGGTTTCTTATATTAATAATGTTATTATTGAACCAATACTTTGAATATCTGCTATCTGGTACAACTTGATTCAAAGAGTTCGGTCAATATTATAATGACAGATATCATGACAATGTTGAGTTAATGTAAACAAGAAGTATGAAATTAAGATTATTTTCGACACATATTGATTTGAGTCGTAGATAAGTCGAAAGCTATGGTATAATGAACTGCTGCGTCATTTTAGTATGGTACTCATCATCAGTGTACAGTTATAACTGCACTAGAAATCGAACTCGAAGGACTTTGCATTTGTGAGAAGTGCGTTATATTTAAATGAATAAGTTGAGATCTAACGGTCAACATATTCAATCTTGATCGATCCGTGAAGTGACGATGATGATCGTATAATCCATGTCAGGTTTACTCATCTCATTCATAACACTGCTGAAGTTAATAATTCGGTGTAGGTGTATGATTGTCAGTAATTCTTTTACAATACATACATTTGGCACCGATTTATTAATTTGATTATATATTTATATATTACTTACTTATTTACGCCTGTTAATCTCAAAGGAGCATAGACCGCCAAACAGCATTTCTTTTCTACCCCTATCCAATTGATGTTCATTTTTCTCATATCTGTCTACATTTCTCGGCGTAATGTGTTCTTTAATCTTACTCTTTTCCTTTGGCCTTGAAAATTCCATGTGAGGGCTTGGCTTGTGACGTAGTTGGATGCTTTCCTCAGTGTGTGTTCTATATACTTCTAGCACTTTTTCCTGATGTCTTCCTCTGCTGAGATATGATTTGTTCTCTTCCACAGAAGGTTGTTGCTGATAGTATCTGGCCAACGGATCCGAAGTATTTTGTGTGGACAACTGTTAATAAACCTTTGTATGTTCTGGTGGATGGCTTTCTTCGTTCTCTAGGCTTCCACTCCATACAGTACAATTGTCTTGACATTTGTACTGAAAATTATGACCTTGGTTTTTGTTAACAGACATTTGTTTTGAGTTGCACATATTCTCCAGTTGTAAATATGATGTTCTTACTTTGGTGATCTACGCATTTATATCTGAGTCACATCCACTATGCAGATTCCAGGCTAATGAGGTGTATTTCCTACTAAATTCATGTTTTCTTTTTTGGATGATGTTGTCCCTTGAAATTTCGATAACTGTTTCTTACGTAAAGAGATTTTAAATAAATGTATGATGTCGTTCTAGTTATTGAAAATAACATTTTAGATCAACTTCTCTCATGAAAACTAATCATCAGTTCCATTACCTCCATAAGAGGCTCATTAACAACAAAACTTTGACAGATGCAAACAAAGTTTATATAAATCATACAAAATTCTTGTATGAAAATTATAATGAGATCCGGTTTCGAGTTTGTTCACCTGCAATGTAAGTTGTTAAACGGAGCACTTCTTACTTATATTATAATTAGTAGTATTGTGATGAATAATGAAATTTGTAGATCATTTTAGATGAGTCGTTGAGAGAACAGTGAAAATTTCAATTTGTCTTTTCAAACAACATCATCAACACATAATATTCAATAGAAGTTATTGTAGAAAGACCATTTAAACTTTAACATTCAACAAATTATCTCAGTGAATACAACTTCTTTGAAAACCGCATTACACAAGCAAGTGGCTATCAGGACTCATTAGCTAAGTAGATTATAGTGTCCTTCTTATCCCATTAATCACATGTCTGTATATTAATTTTGTGGCTATAAATATTGAGTAACGCTTGACTAAAATGGAGTTGGCTTCCCAGCCATCTTCCCTGGGCGTCATTTTGCTCTGTTCTATTACATTCACTTTACATACAAAATATATGTATTCAAAGGCCATTCTCGTTAATTGACTTATCTAAATTCCGTTATTGACTAACGTGATTTAATTCGAAGATGATATACGAGAAAAGGCGATAACAATCATTTATACGATCTAAATAGGAGTCAGATCAACGGGCCACTAAAAGATAATGTGATGGTGTTTGAAGTGAACAGTACTGGATTCAAGTCCCAGAGTGAACATCAACTCTGAAATGCAGGTACATTCAACTGACTAGTCCTGCATAGGACGAAACGCTCATGCTGGATTCCACTACTAACCACTATCCATCAATAACAGTTTTAAATTATCTAAGATTAGAAATCTTTTTAAATTAAATAATAAATAAATTGAATTGCACATCATTTTATTTTAGTAATTCCATGAATAAAGAAGAAGAAGAAGAAGAAGAACAATTAAAAGATGATAATTCAAATTGTGCTTCCAGATTAAATCATCCATGTCAACATACAAGACCACAGCATACAATCATAAATAATGATAAATTACATCCAAATCATTTGAATCAATTAATTACATCCATAGAAACAACCATAGCTACTATGAATTTTGAACAGAATCCAAATATCAATTGTACATGCTCATTATGTAATGATATGAAACAGAATAATCAATTCAATCGATCAGATTTGAATAAATCAATCATACGTAAACCAACTCCACCGAAACGATCACCTAAAACTATTTTAACCAGGTAAAACTTCAATAAAAAAACATTGTATTTATGGTTTACTATTTCATAATGTATTATAATGAATAACAACACAAGTGAAGATAATCGAATGTATTTGAATAGTGAAACATGAAATCTGAGAACTATACAGTAAATAGTTTATGTGTAAAATACCAATCCATCGTCTCACACTTGACTATTCCTCATGAAGATCTCAGTTCATCGTCTCAAATTTCACTGTTCGAATATTTTCATACTAATTACTTTCTGTTCCCGTTGTTTCCTTCTCGATCTCCTACTGAAGTACATTCTATACTTGATCATCAATATATGATACTTATGTGATTACAAGTAGTTCACACCACAGTATTACAGAACATTTTTTCTATTTTTTTTTAATAACGAGTTGAGCTATTGTTATATTAATCCAACTCGGTTTTGTAATGTATTACTGATAGACTGATAGACTTTAAATAAATTGAGAGTATGGACAATGTTTGGAACCAAATGAGTACATATAACTCGACAGAGTTTCATCTGCCATTTATGAACAAAAACACATAGATCTGCAAATACTGATAATAAATTTGATAGAAATTAGGAGTCAGTTCTACAGAAGATACTTCTATTTTTTTACATGTTGAATTCATGAGTTGATCTAAACTAGATCATCATTGAAAATCTGGAAGCAATGGACGGGTCGTTTCGTCCTTGTTTGAAACTCCTTAGAAGTGCGCAACTACGATCCCTCATGCGAGACTCGAACTCAGAACAGATGGATTCAACTGTTAAAAATACTACAATCTCCACAAATCTCATTACTTTTGTTTTCCTAAGAAGTATCAATCGGTCAATATATGACTTAAGTCATTATTTTTGTCAGGTTATATCAACAAAAATACCGAACATATTCAGTACAAAATATGAATAAACAATTAAAATTTAAGTCCATTCGATAGGAGTAATAATTAAGTATAACTTTGGCACTATAATTATCCTCATCGCTTGTTTTACGTCTGAAGTAGATTACCAAAATCAATATATGATGCTCAATTCAATATTTTACTGATCTGAAATCATACAAAATTTTAATGGACATCTATAGTAAACTAGAAATCCTAAATGACTATTTAATCTCTTCTGTTTTTCGACATTCCAATGATTCTCAAAAGTTATAAGAGTATCTAAAGTATAAAATATCAGAAAAACACGGTAGTTAAGGAGATGAAATAAACTTATACGAGCCAGTTTATTCAATCAGTAATGATCGGATTTCTGATGTCGTCTTTCATTAATCCATCTGTGGTAGGAATTCCTAACCCATGTCAATGAAACCTTAACACCAAAATGATACATATTTAGAAATAAGTAATTAGTTCACTTGTATTCCAGCATATAACCTTATATAATTGAGAACACGCTTTTTATTCCCTGTACAAAGTTGCTAATTGTCTAGGAGTAATGCATTGGTGTATTGTAATTATTTGAAATTCATGTTGTATATATGATTGTTCATTTGAATTTTATATGAAATAGGGAAGTCATATCAATTCTGTTGATGTGACACATGTTAGCTCCTTCTCAATAAAAGATATTGAATTAAAAACTGATCATATATTCAGTAACATATTCGTTTAATGACGTTATGTGTTAGATCTACTAAACATAAAATGGTGTATAGCATGATTTCCTACATTTTGTCCACATAAATATACCTGGGATACATTTTCTTTGTCCTTGACAGTAGCTAAGGAATTGATTCTTGAAGTCAGTCATTTTGTTGGATAATAATGGATGAAAAATGTTTTTGGTATTTATTAAAATGTAAAAACCATTGACAGGATAATGGTATACTATGGGGTCCTGAAAATTTGGTTTAACGTCAAAAGCTACTGAATATTTATAAGTAGTATGAAAAAAACACATAAAAATGGAAGGTGTGTATAGAATTAAGATTAGATATAATTTATTTGTTTCGTTTCTATTATTTGTATTCTCTCATTATAAAGTTATCACTACTACAATACAAATCATGATACTTTTTACATAAATTCTTTTTTAAAAGCCTTAATACATCTCCTAAATCAGAAGAACGTGAAAATCATAAAGTCCAAATGAATTCAGTTCAAAGTTCTAATCAGTTAGCAAATATTATGGATCCTATAAACTGTGAATCCAGAGTAATCTGTGACCATAAAATTGATGATGACTGTAACAATGAAGATTCCAAGGAACAAACACACCCTACTATGACTACTACCAGAAATGGTAGTCATAGTAGTCATGAAGGAAGTGAACATAATGAGGAGAAGCAATATCCTATGTATGATAACAATAATAATAGTAATAATAAAAAACAATCTGATTTAATTATACCAGATAACACTGGTCAAGATAATGAGATGATCAAGTGTTGTGTATGCAATTCATTGCATGAAATAGATGCTGAAGCTGAAATTCTTCATATGACTGAATTATTATCGAAACGTCGTGAATCTGAAGCTAGACGTCAATTATTATTAGCTGAGATGGAGGCTGGAATAGAACGAGATGATCGTTTAAGAGTCGCTGCAAATGCTATGGCATTGGCGGTGTCGCCAATGACAAGTGATATAACATGTAATATGAATAAATCGGAATTATGTAATGTATCAAATTGTATACACTATAATTATTGTTTACGTCATCATCATCATCATGATCATCAACAACAAATTCATTCTAATAATGTTTGTAATGTACAACAACATATTGCACTAAATCCACCACATTTACATTCTATAGATCACAGAAATATAGATAATGAATTGATACCTCCGATAACATGCTGTTGTACATCGGATTGTATCAGAGAAGAAGATATATTGATTACATTACGAAAATGTAAGTCATATGGTATTTTCAATCTCTTTGGAAATCAAGATATTTATATTACGTTTTTTCCGGCATAATATGTGGCTGTTAGCATTTATTAGAGTTGAATAATATTTAACGGAATAACTCAGATTTTATTTTATTGCACAGGATAGTTTTCCTCCTACAAGGACTCATTGAGAGATGTTTTATTCGATGATTGCGAAAACTTACCCCTCATAGCTTAGTATATTCGATAACTCTCTGTATTCGATCATAGTTGTCTCCCAAGGATTTTTGACTCCTAATCTCAATACTATTTCAGTAATACGGAGGTTCGAAAACATTTTTTTCGAGCTCAATGGTGATAACTCGGTCGATGTCACTATACAAAAACATGGGTCATCCCAAAGGCTTTCAAATTATACATCAATTGTCGATACTAAAATGAGGTTGGAAGAATGGAGAATTAGTAAGTTTATGAATATAGTGCTGCTTTACGAAAACATGCTGCATAGAACTGGTATCTATTGGTTCATAACGACCTCTTGGGTAACATCCGAGAGATGAATACAACTTTATGACTTTGCTCATTATCATACATATCTCAGAAAGGGAATCTGTAGTGTCGGTTATTACGTTAAGCCCATATACCTTATTCTAGCTTCCGGACAGCCCATTCTATTCAATCTCCTTAAGTCACATTCTGACGTTGTTATTTATTCAATCTTTACTGTTTTTATATGAGCGCGTAGGTGTGTGTACATTTCTTATGCCATTACTCATCACATGTTTGTAACTTACTTTTGTGTAACTATAAATATTGATTAAAACTTGGTTATATGCGAGTTGGTTTACCTGCCATCTCCACTGCTCGTCGTTTTGCTTTGTTCTATTCCATTCACCTCATATACAAAATATATGTATTCACAAGTCCATTCTCGTTATTTGACTTATTTAATTCCGTTATTGACTAACGCGATTTAAGTCGACGAATATATACGAGAATAGGCGACATATATAATTCAACAACAATCATCATTACGATCACCTTGGTGTCAGATCCACGGGTCACTAAAGTGGAGAGCCCTTTCGACAACATCTTCCAATCTAAATGACGACAAAATTAAGGGTCCCACAAAAAATCAATAACAGCTTTCCAGTAATTTCTTCTTACATTCCTTATAAAAGTTAATAGAACTCTTTTAACTAGTTTAAACATTTTTCTTGGATGCATTAATAACTGACTTGTATTTCATATCACATACTATTCCTATTTCTTTCTTTGTTTGCTTTTTTAAAAATTGTAATCCCATTCCTATCGCTTATTTCTTTATCAATCTAATCTCTTGATTGGATATTGCTCATCGATGGGTATGAGGTTATGGTGTCGGTATATGAATTAAAACAAGGATTTATTGACGTTCTGTAATCGACAATCTACCTGTAGAATCTAAACTAAGCTTTGAACTGATGAATAACTGTCTAGATAGTTTAGATACTCGCTATTGTCTAGTTGAAACCAAAACAAGGTGATTGGGTAAATAAACAGTTCATTATAAATATAAATGTACATTATTACTTAAATAAATATTACCACATCGTTGTTCAACCAATATATGTTCGACTAATCAAATCAAGCGCAACAAATAAATGTAATTCTATCCTTTCTGGATAAATCATGTACAGGTTCGTTCGAAAGATAATGACATAGAGTGTTTCTAATTCTGGAAGAGTACATCAATTCAGAATCAAAAAATGGACAATTCTAATCAATGTATGCAATACAATCAATGAAGGAACAAATCAATATGGCTGCCACCAAGACTTAAGTATCAACTAAAACAACATTAATACAGTTCAAGAAGAAACATAGAAACTCAGTGAAGGCGTAAGAAAAAGAAAAATTATAATAAAATACAAATATGACAATCTCAAATGGAATCAAAAAGACTAACAACATGTACAACTGAAGGAATCAATAGGAACAAATTACAAGCGTATACATGGAGGGATTTTGACATACACACACAAAACCTTCAAAATGGATCTTACACTACCATTATTGTTTTTTTCCAGAATTAAATCAATCCAAATTCGCAAGTAAATTTAGGTTATTTTGTACAAAAGCTTGTAAGAAACACTCATGAATAGCGCTATTTATTTCAGTTTAATCAGGACTTGTTGCTTCAGGACTGGTCTGCGTCAACACCTGAACTAAGGAATGGGAGTGAAGTAGTCGAACGCGTTGACAACTTCATTTATCCTGGAAGTCTGATCAGCCATAATCGGTTGGTGTCAGACGAAATCTCTGCACGGATTCAAAAGGCTCGTTTGGCTTTTGCCAACTTACGTCACCTATGACGAACACGAGACATCCGTCTATCAATAAAAGGACGAGTATACTGCGCGGCAGTCCGTTCTGTTTTAATTTACGGCAGCGAAACATGGCCATTAAGAGTAGAAGACACTCGTAAGCTATTAGTATTTGACCACAGATGCCTTAGAAATATTGCTGGCGTCTGCTGGGATCACCGGGTAAGTAATAGTGAGGTTCGACGCAGGGTATTAGGGAATGATGTTGGTAAATCAGTTGATGAGGTTGTCAATCTTCATCGACTAAGATGCATGGGCCACGTGTTGCGTATGCCTGAACACTGATTACCACGACGTGCAATGCTAACTGGTGTTAGAGATGGTTGGAAGAAGGTTAGGGGCGGCCGAACCAAAACGTTGCACCAGTGCTTGAAGTCACCAACTTCTAGTCTGAGCCATGTTGGTAGATGCAGACTACTTGGTTGGAGTCCGCATGACTGTCGTAACCAATGGTTGGAGACTGTGTGTGACATGGCTCAGAATCCATCACAATGGTGTAGGTGTATACACTCTCTGTCTTCCCTTAGATTAAAATCACTTCATATCTTCTTTTCTACGAACTAATTCTTTCTTCCTGTACTATATCCTTATTGCAATCTTTCTTTTATATATTACCACCTCTGAATTAACTACCTTCATGAATTCGGTGTTCATCTTGTTGTGTTAATGAAGTATGGCAGCTTGAACCAATGTATATATATGCCTAGTCCTATGTTGCAGCTGACTGACTCAGTTTAATCAGTACCCAGTCTTTTATAAGGATTTTTATCTTAATATATGAAAATAGAGATGAAAAAACCGATACTAGATGATACAAACACGCTTTACTGATGAATGACAACTAGAAACAAATCTAAGTAACAATCCTCTTATGAAATTTCCTCTATTAGTTAATGCTTAAATAAGCGTCTTCAATTTGTATAATCACACTTCATTATTTTTAGTTCAGTAATTTTATAGATTCTGCCACAGATCGACCTCATTTAAACAACCTTGGGGAACTATAAAGTAGGGAACATCTGTTTCTTTATAGTATTCTTGGGGACCATAGATCCCCAAAACTCATATTTTGTAATTTCATCTTATCGATTAACTCATCGATTAAATGTTTAAATATTTGAATGGATGTCGATTGATGAACTTCTTGAATAATGTTTAAAAACATTTACCCATGACAATATCGGTTATAAATATTGGTGTAAATACGCTTGACGTGTGTGCCTGATTGACCTGACTTGACTTGGTATCTGCTGGTTGCCTGTAGAATACAGTTCTACGTCTTACCAAGACTTCTTGATCGAGTTAGCTGAGTCGGAAACAACGGACCAGAATAGCCTATTGAATCTCTGAATCCTGATCCTTCGTTCTGTTCCGAATAAGCCAAATCAATAGTAGCATTCAGTTTTAACGAATCTAACAAGTATGAAACTCTGTAACAATGTACATTCACTATTGTAACAAAAGGGGATCACACCCAGGATCAACGGGGAAATGCTTAAACTTTGACCAGTCACCCAATTATATTTCTAACTCCAGTCAATTCAGCATAATGAGTAACCATTACTCATTGTCATCAAAAGGTATTTGTCACAAGCTAGATAATGATTGAACTCCATCAATCATCACTACCCATCAAAACTTAAGGAAATGACCATTCGAAATTAGTTACCAACATACGTATGATTCTTATTGATGAAATGAGAATAATGATTTTCAATCATCTCTTTTATATGAATTGTTTTATTGTTCTTCTGTTGTAATTGATTATGTTTTCCTCTTTCTCTTTTCTTTACATTATTGATTATTTTTACAATACAGCTTCATGTGGTTTAGGATTTAGTTTAACCACAAAACTTATTCATCCTAAATCAACATTGAATTCATCAATGAATGAATCGTTATTTGCTGTATATGTGAAAAATATTTTACCTGATGGTTCAGCTATAAAAGATGGACAATTACGTGTTGGTGATCGATTGATACAAGTAAATAATTTAATTTAATAATTATGATTTAATTGTTTGATAAAATTAAAAATAATAACAATAGAGATGAATAGTGGTTAGTAGTAGAATCGAGGACGAGTGACTCTCCGTATTTAAGATTCGTCAGATGAATCTTAGAGTTAACGTTCACTTCAGGACTCAAACCCAATACCGTTCTCAATGGGAAGATACAAGCAAATAACATCAAGTGAATTTAAACTTCACCTTATTACACAAACAGGTGGCTATCAGGACTCAGTAGGTACTTGGATAATACGATTACGTTTGAGGAGAACTGTACTGGGTTTGAGTCAAAAAGTGAACATCAACTCTGGAATGCAGGTACATCTAGCTGACGAGTACCAAATAAGACGACGTGGAGCGCGTCCCGGATTCTATTGCTAGCCACTATCCATCTTTGATTATAAAGCTTATGAATTCAGGTAATACCGAAGTAGTCCGCACAGGATGCACATTTGTCAACATGAGACTTATCAATTGCAGTCCTTAATAACAATGGGAAGCTACAAGTAAACAACATCAAATGAACAACAAAGATTGTTTACAAAAATCAGATTGAAAACACTTGAATTAACCTATAAGAATATTACAATATGATTGTTGTTGATAATCCGTTCAGGTTTCCTTAAATTCCATGATTTATAAAGAAACTAAATATCCCTATTGAGATAGTAGAAAGGTAGTGTTTATTGTAAACCAACTTTATAAAGCTAATATACACACTTTTCGAAATTTATGCTGTTGCAGTGTAAGAGCAACTTTATCAGATGTTTGATCCACAGAGCCAAAATTATTTGTATTGATAATCATATTGAACAAGAGTTAAAACATATTCATGATACATTACGTAAGCACAGATACCCATTAAATTTCCCAACGAAACATATGTCTGGAGCTAAACTGACAGTGAAACTATCGACGATATCAAAAAAAGCCTATATTCTTGAAAATACAATTCGAAGTCAATAAAGCTACTGAAATAGTAACCCGACATATACAAATGCTTTATAATGTACATTCAATGCAGTAAGTTTATGTCCTACTTTCTTCAGTCGGCCAGTAGTCAATTCACCAAATAAAGATAAATTGTCTTGTTCTTCTGCCTCTAAGTGTATTCACCATTTCTGCTACTCATGCAAAATCCGTTATATTGGGCGTACAACCAGACAAATACGTCATCGTATTGCTGAATATCACTCCACCTCGTTGACTAACAAAAGTAATCAGAAGCTCTATCTTAGCATATCTAGTCGAAGTCATAGTAATACACATAAAAAAACTAACCTTTGTATATGAAAAAATTTATGCGGTTTTTGAATCTACCTTGGCCTTCTAATATTCACTGCTTTCGGCCTCATAAGAATCTGATTATTCAGGACGATATACTAATGTCGATTCAGTTATCTTGATGACCTGAATGCGATATAAATATAAATATATATATATGGTTTATCCATAGTAAATACATCTCAGTCCCACAGTAGGTCAGTCACTGGCACAATAGCCCAGTAGTAACGTCTCTGTGTCGCTGGGTGACAAAAATAAAATCTCTCAAAATGCACTAGATTGTACATAAACCTTGCACACGACTGCCAAATATCAAAAAATAAATTAAGTCCAACTTTTTTTGTTGAACAGCTTCAATCATTACCCTACATCTGAAATTGCATCATCATTCTCTTCCCATCGAAACAAACATTTTTCCACTGAGGTTTATCTTACGTTATGACTACATTTCATAGATTGCTGTTATTAGTTTTTACATACACATGATAGATTATCTTACTTACTTACTTACGCCTGGTACTCCTAATAGAGCGGAGACCGCTAACCAACATTCTCCAGCTCATTCTGTTCTGGGCCTTCCTTTTCAGTTCTATCCAATTTTTGTTCATTTTTCTCATGTCTGTCTCCGTTTCTCGGCATAATGTGTTCTTTAATCTTACTCTTTTCCTTTGGCCTTGAAAATTCCATGTGAGGGCTTGGCTTGTGATGCAGTTGAGTGCTTTCCTCAATATATGTCCTGTCCACTTCCAGCGCTTCTTCTTGATTTTCTCCTCCACTGGAATCTGGTTTGTTCTCTTCCACAGAAGGTTGTTGCTGATAGTATCTGGCCAACGAATCCGAAGTATTTTGTGCAGACAACTGTTAATAAACCTTTGTATGTTCTGGTGGATGGCTTTCTTCGTTCCCCAGGTTACCACCTCATACAGAAGATCTGTTTTGACATTTCTATTGAAAATTCTGACTTTGATGTTGGTTGACAGACAGTTGTTTTGAGTTGCAGATATTCTACAATTGTAGATATGCTGCTTTTTGCTTTGCCGATCCGCGATGATAGATTATCAATGAGACAAGAATTCCTTTATCTATTTATATATATCAGATTGAAAATGAGTTTTATGAAGAAAATCACTAAAACCGAATATCACTTCACTGAGATATAATACAATGTAAAAATGAATTATTCCTATTTTAATCTCATTAATACACTTCTGATGAATCTTTAAGTGTCTTTCTGCGTGTGTTAACCATTGTCCAATTTCTCATGGATTTTCAAGTCATGCATTATTATTATTATTATCATCTAAATAATAATTATCCATTTACCTTATTTCTATCTAATATAATTACATATATAAGCATATAGTTTACTTGAGTTGTTGCATTCATTAGTCAATTGAAGTTAGACTATCATGGAAAACCTGGAATCATTGGATGGCCGTTTTGTCCGAGTATGGGATCCATCAGTGGTCTAGAGGCTAAGCGTTCGCGTGCGAGACTGATAGGTCTTGGGTTCGAATCTCGAGAGGTGGGATCGTGGATGCGCTCTGCCACTGAAGAGTACCACAATAGGTCAAAACTGCCTTCCAGTGTTTCCAAGTTTTCTATGGTAGTCTAGCTTCAATTGATTCATGAATTTACCTATTAAATTACTACAATCTTTAAAAAATTCCTCTCAAAATATAGCTTACTCTTAGTATTATAATTTATTGTTTTAATGTTTAGTTTTCGGATTTAATTGTGGAACTTTCAAAGTTAGCCTTCCATTTATTCCACAAGTGTTATTTTAATTCGTTTTGATAAGTTTGTACATGACTGTCTTTTTAAGCTTTTGTTATCTTCATTTGTTGTTGTTTTCAGATTGAGTTTATTTGACAGTTAGCCTCCAGAATTACGACTGGTCGATGCTTTGAGTATGGGTTTGAAATATGAGTTTATATAGATCTATCTGTTGATTGTTAATTGATCTGAATTTCATGAGCAAAGAAATTCTCTGACATTTTTGAACTTTCTCTAATACAGAATTTCTTCAATCTAATTCATGTGTATACTTGTCTACGTCTATCAATGTTAGCCTTATTTTTAATTTATCTTTATTTCTGTGAAGATGAACGAAGCATCCACTTGATCCGTTGCAAAATTCATTCTGATTAGTGCAATTACTTTTATGGATAATTAATCATTTGTATTCCTTGTCTGTTATGTCGTTCTGTCTGTAGTGGAATTGAATAAACTCTCTGTGTTGTGGCTTGTCACAGACATTAAATCCAAAATAGCTTTAGAATCTTTCTATTATATATGATTGAGCAAATTGTTTCTTCGTTTCTGAGGTTACTTTTCATATATATATATTGATTCACTAAACACCTTTTGATAATGTCATCAGTTGGGGGGTGGGGGTGGGGTTAGTTGGTTATTCTGATAAACAACAAACTGAAAATAAGATAGAGTGTAGAAGATTTATATCTTAAATGGATCATTTCGATAAAACTAGATAGTTTGCTCAATAGAACTTTTATCATTCTTCTTACGAACAATATGATCAGCATAAATAAACCATGAATACTTCACAACTAAACTATCTTTAGCTTAGTGAATAAAACTTCATCAAGAATGAAAATGAATTTCTTCAATTCTTTTCATTAATTTTGTTTATGTTATATCCTAGTGAAGATTACATTACGAGTAATATCTGAGACCTATCAATGGACTAATATTATTTATATATTCTTATGCTATATATATTCAGTAACTAGACTGTATATATCTATATTCCCCTTATTATAAGCTTTATTTTGACCTATAATTTATGATTGTACGATTTATGGTTCTTAAGCAATGTTCAGTTTATTGACTACTGCCTCCCACGTTCACAGTCACTTTTTGGCTCTATTGTGCACAAATGTTATTTCTTGTTTTATGGTGCGATGCGGTTTGTTTGGCTGATATATAAACCCAGTATGTTTGAAATAAATGATTCGATTCGTTTCGATTCGCATAGTGCAAGCTGGTATCTGGTGATCTGAACTCAAGTGGACAAGCTAAGCGAACATAGAACCAAATAAGGACGCTAAGCTGCTCATACCGGTTGAACGTCATTGGTTTGGCGGCACAGTGCTAAGATTGTATAAGTCGTATGTTGATTGGTGGATAAATCAAGTTATAACACTCTGACACTTTAAATATTCCCAAATTGTAAATAAAACATCTTATATGCATATACCATAACTTTTGAACTAAGTACAATCAGTGATTAATTAGGCTAATTATATTAACATTCTACTATGTCAGTGGTTGAGATGTTTTTTTAACGATTTCCTACCAAAAGTATGTGTTAAGATAATGTGAATGATAATTCCTTAAAGTACTTTACAGTTTCATGAATTGGTTGAGGTTAGACATTAACACTGTTAGATACTGGCTCAATGGTCTAGAGTTTAAGCGTTCGCGCGCGAGACCGGAGGCCCTTGGTTCAATCCGGTTCGTTTTGATTCGCATATCGGAAGCTGGTATTTCGTGTTCTGGATTCAAGTGGACAAGCTAGGCGAACATAGAACCAAATAAGGACGCTAAGCTGCTCATACCGGTTGAACGTCATTGGTTTGGCGGCACAGTGCTAAGAATGTATAAGTCGTATCTTGATTGGTGGATAAATCACATGGTAACTAGCGTTACAGTTTATTTATTTAAATTTCAACACTTTTTTCTTTTCTTTTTCTTTTCTAGATTGATAATTTAGATGTAATTGGTAAATCACAAGCACAAATTGTAGCTATATTACGAATTAAACCAGTTGGTAGTATTGTTCATTTATTAGTACGTCGTCAAGTGCATCAATGTCAATTAAATACAAATAATTGTTTAACATGTCATTTCTTATTAAATTCAACCTATCAATGTCCAAATTTATTAAATACACCAATGAATCAAATAACAAATCATTTAACTTGTGACAAATTATCTAATTGGGTTGATACACGTAAATGTTCATCACCACCATTACAAATGACATTATATTATGATGGATTAACTAATTTAGAACGTGTTTATCATCCAAATTATCCAGTGAGTTGAATATTAATTAGTTTTTTAAAAGTGTTTAGCGTTCGAAGCTCACGAAGCGAGATTATGGATGCACCGTGCCACTGAGGAGTCACATAATAGGATGAAACGACCGTCCTGTGGTTCCAAGTTTTCCATGGTGGTTTAGCTTTGATTGGTTCATGATCTTAACCATTAAAATGACTATTTTTTTTGTTTAAATGTAGTGTAGTAAACTATTTTAAATACAGTAAACATTGGCAAGCATTGTCTTTTGAATTATCCAGCATTTATCCTGTTTTATCATTCCATATCATAGACCAAGTTTATTTAGACAATTAGTGTAAAACAAACCCTATACTGATAATTAATATGTGCTCAGTAGTGATAAGCTTCGTGAGGGAATTCTCGGAGTCCTAGAAAGAAGCCGTGACCAGTGGAGCTAATCTGTGTCGGGTAGAGACAGGTATCTACCTCAGTACAAAAGAAGATGGTCGCGTAATTTAGTGGATTGGTTGATGTTAGAAATTAACACCATTGGATGCCAGCTCAGTGGTCCAGTAGGTTAAGCGTTCGCGCGCGAGACTGAAGGCCCTGGGTTGGAATCCCGTGAGCGGGATCGTGGATGCGCACTGATGAGGAGTCCCACAATAGGACGAAACGGCCGTCCAGTGCTTCTAGTCTTCAATGGTGCTCTAACATCAATCGGTTCATGATTTCATTCTAAAACAAAAAGCACTGAGCTTTCAGACCTCGTTAGCCAGAGGCATAATCTCCTGACTACTTAGCCGATATCCATTGGTTAAGATTTATAACCTTGTCATTGATATTTATTTATAAGTTCAGTCAATTTGAGAAATCCTGGATTCGAACTTCAGTTAAGTTGTGGATGGGCACTTCTCTAGAGACTCGAAATTCGATTTAGTGTCCACATACTGATTAATTCAACAGAAAAGTGTTCTTTCAGTGGATATTATACATATATTTGTCAGAATATTACCATGGTAAGCAAGCAGATTTAGAATAAAAGATTCATGGATTGATTTAGACAACATGAAAAACAGTGTAGTTGTTAGTTTCTTAATTAACATTGTTTTTACGACAAAGTGGATCGTGATAAGGTATTGGAAAAAAGTGAGATATCGTGTATGTTAGAGTAAAATATCATAAAATCAGGATTATGATATATGAACGGAATTTGGCCAACATCATTTTAGGAAAATAATCTACGTCCAGTATAATGGTTACATAGTTTCATAGGTTAAATCACGAACTGATATTAGCTAGATCATTGTTGAAAACTAGTAAGCATTAGATAATTGCTTAATCCTAGTATAGGACTAGTTAACAGTAGTCATTCTTGCTTCCACCACCCAAGCTCGAATTCATGATCTTGAATCCAGTGTACTAACACTTAACTTTTAGATCCCTGAAGCGTTATTCAGGATCTCACATGTTTAACTTCGTCCAAATCACAATATCGCACCATCATTTTGGATTGTCTACACTGGATAACTATCTCACACCCTATCTAGTTGGACTCTATTGATCACCATTATATATTTATTAAGAAAACAAGGGGGATGGAGTTTGTTTATTTCATAAGATTGATAATTGAATTTCTTCACAAATACAAAAAGAATATATAATCTCCATATCATTTCTTCCAAAATCACTTTCTTCTGAATGAAAATAATAGTTCCCCTCACCGCGCCCCCCCCAAGAAAATAAGTTCCCTTATTTATTATGATTGTTAAACTATATTGATTATTTAATTTTAATTGTTATTTCGTATTCTATTTTTTTTTAATTTTAATTTTTAGCTTTATCCAGATGTGATACTACTTCGTTTACATATTCCACTTATTCCTATTAATGAAGAGAATGTAGATCATCTTAAAAATTCTAAAAATTGTTTAGATACTACTACTAATACTACTACTAATAATAGTAATAGTAATAACCTATTAACTACAACAAGTTTACGTCAAATGCGTCTTGGTGTTAGTGTACGTGAATCTAATTCATCAAGAGCAAGTAAATTAAATGAATTATCACAGAATACAATTAAATTAAAAACAAATATAAATAAAAATAATGATAAAATAAATCCAATCAATTCATTAACTGATACATCATATATTGCTGATTCTATCTATGGTGGTGTCATAGTGAAATGTGTCATAGAAGGTGGAGCTGCACATAAAGTAAGTAGCCCTTTCCCCTCCCCCCTCTCCTTTTTTTTCCTTGTTTACAAATGGATTCTACTATTATTTGTATGATATAAATATAAGGTAATCATATCATGGAATGTGTATTACACTATAGTCTTATATTATTGATAACATTGTATAATAGAGATGTGAAAGACCTGTGTTATTTCTGGGGGATATTGATGCCATGAATCTCAATTCAAATTGACATTCTTTAAAATATATAATTAAGGAAGTAGCTGTGACTATGTGTTATGGGGAAGGTTTCTACTCATTGACAATTTAATAGATAAGATGATAGTCAGCTAATATGTGGTTAGTTATGGGCTGAAAAAATATATTTGTGTCTACGTAAATTTACGCTACTGAAAGTTAGAGATGACAGAAATTGAAATTATTATTAATTCATGTAAAAGTTCTGATTAGGTCATTTTAGATTTTTCTATATGAAAAATGTTATCTGTTTAGTGCTACTCTTTATGTGCGTAAAGGCATTTTATTCTTCATGACCAGAAGACATCAACACTTCCCCCGTAGTTAATCCTTCTTATGCAGCCTGCGTCCAGTAAATCTGTTATATCTGATCATAGCAATTGTTATGTTCGATCGTCGCCAATTGATGTGCCGAAAAAAAACGCTGATCACTTCTACTCGGAACGAGGGACCTCTGCAGTTCTCACGATGAGAAAGTAAGAACACACGAGACTGGTATAAGTGAAGATTTATTAGCCCCAAAACACGACGACGAACGATGATCAAGTAGTCTAAAATACACTGATTTATATATTGATTGTACACCCATTTTGATTATTAATTAGGATGAAATCACATACTCAGTTATAACAAATCACAGACTGTGAGCATATTTCATGTCAACTGAATACAAGAATATCTCGTATATTATACAGAAGAAAATATCATACTGGGAGAACAAATCAAATCCTACACTGAATGATCCTCATGTTGAATCAAAACGGATGTTGAATGTTGAATAAAACTCACAATGAGTAATTCAATCAAAAATGGACTTTTCTCACCACCATATCAAGCAATAAATAATCTACTGAGTATAACTCGGGTCCGAACAAAGTACCTCCCAATTGTTTTTTTTAATTTCTACCTCTATTAGAATAGTTTTCTAGGTTTTCTACATTGCCCGGATGTTCCATGTTCCAATATTCATTATTGTTTTGATTTTCAGAAGGGGTATTTGACTGGTGACTTCCAAAGATTCTCGGCTTACATCGTGAGGTGTCATAAATTTACTAAATATAAACCCTTATATCCCCAGGGAAGAATTCAGATTGTTTTTTTCTGGTTAACGTTATTTTAGCAAGGTTCTATCCTTGGAGTAGATTTGCTACCACCATTCTCAACTCTCCCTTCTTCTGTCTAAGCTTGTGACCGACAATGTCTCTAGAAGAGCTCCAGGTGGAGCTCAGCTGAATTTACGGAACAGTTTAACGGAACGATTAACCTTTAAACTACTGAGCCCGTACTGATCGACCACCTACTGTTACATTCAACTACCTCACAATTTAACAGTCTAAATTCACTGGTCATGACTTTTTGTTAGACAAGAGATGGTAATTATCAATATAGATGTTAGAGATATATACCTTTAGTTCCTTGGTCAGTGATCTAGGGGTCAGGTGTTCGATTTAGACCGTAGGTGATGGGGTCGATCCCTTAAAAAGCTATTATTGATGCTCACTGGATAAAAGTCTATGAGGAAATAACTGTTTAGTCCCCTCCCCAAGCATCCATTGGATGCCCAACTTATGTCGATTGGTAATATGATATTGCAAACCGATTAGAAATGGTCAAACGAGGTCACAGTCAGAAATGACCTAAAAAACAAATGAATATCATTGGCTAAGAAATGAATTGACTTTCTGAGGGGTATTTATATAAGTATTTGTGCATATCATGCGATAGCCCAATATACTTTCTTCACTCTTGTTTTTTTGCTGTAGTCAGGTGGGGGGTTAGCTTGTAGCACATTGTGTATCAATATCAGATCTCGGTTACTGCTCATCATAACGGTTACTGGAGAAGTTTTTTCTCCGCCAGCCATAACATAATATCCTTTTTACTAGGAATAATACTATTAATAATTCTACCACTTTAGAATTTATCTTAATAATTTCATCTTGTGCTAATACAGTTTAGTAACTTGAACCAATCCATATATGTTTCAGCTTACATATTACACATAACTAACTAAGTAACTGATTGATTGATTTTCTTCAAGTGGTTATTACTTTAAATGCTTATTCTGATGTTTCTTAGTTGTAATTACCATCCAACAAATAAATTTTATTTCTATCATTCATTTTCAATTCTAAGCAACTGGTTATACACAATATACATTTCATTATTAGAATTGAAACTTTAAAAAACTAGAAATTGACATCGGTGGATGCCGGCTTAGTGACCAAGAGGTTAGGCGTTCGCGCGCGTGATCGAAGGTCCTGGGCTCGACTCGCACATGCGGAATCGCGGATAGTCACTACTGAGGAGTCCATACTAGGACGAAACGGTAGTCTGTAGCTTGCAGGTTCTCAATAGCGATTTAGCTTAGATAGATTAGTGAATTGAATTGTGAAAATACTACAATTTTCATACTGACAAGTTTTTCATTTTTCTTTTTTATGTATATACTTAATGGATTAATTTTTATTGTCATCAAATACTAACACAGGATGGTCGACTTCAAATCGGTGATGAATTGTTGGAGATTAATGGAGTTGTTTTGGTTAATGCAAACAATCCATTAAGTTTATTACGTTCTGTTCTGAGGAAATTATCTAATACAACTGTAAATGACAATAAAAATTGTGATGATGATGATAACAATATGACTACAACTTCAACAAGTGTAACCGATAGAACAACCACGACAATAACAACATCAACAACTGCTTATAGTTCTGTTGCTACTAATGATACTACTACTATTACTACTAGTACTACAAGTAATATTAATTCTATAACAGCTTCACCTACTAAGAAAAATGATCAGAATACAACTTCTAAGTCTACCTTCGATAAAGAAGATACAATGGAAATGTTAGATACAATTCAACCAAAAGTGGTAGATTTATTGATAGCTCGATTAACAAGGCATCGAAGATCTGCATCTGGACACACTGTAAGTATTCACAATTTATTTCGATATGTATATACAGTTTTGTCTGGTTAGCGTTCTTTGTAGCAAGGTTGTTCTCTACAGGATGGGGTTGTTGACCCCATGCTCAATCCTTCTCCATTACTCGGGTTTCAGACCAGCAGTAACCCCAGAAAAGAAGCGGGCGGAGTTATATATATATATATATATAATTTGTTGGTTGAATAACAATGTGTGGCCCAAACACTGATGACATATTAGATGTTAAATGCCTGAATAATCTAGGCTTTGTACTCAATGAAAATTATCAATGAAATTTATCCTACGCTCTGGGTAGAATTATATTATGATTCAGTCTTCCCATATTTGGCTATGAATTTTTGAAGGTGACAAACATCACTCAAACAACATTCTTCATTATCTGAATATAATCTTTTGACGAGATTAAAAAGCGGTCTAACTAAGACTCTTTCCTATAGACCATTATGCTTCATACCAACGTCTTGCAACTTAATTCATGATAAATGTTTGTAAACTTCATTCCGGTGTAGTAATTTCTTTTCCAAGTAATAAGGGCTTGTATAAATTGTTATAGTTTACATTGCTGACTGCACCTTAGTTGGAAAACTAAGAAGCACTGAAGATCACCCACCAATGATATTGGAAGACAGTTATGCAACATCGTGAAATGAATAAACTTTGACACGTTCATCAGATGGTGCGATTTGTGTGGATTAAGGGTAACCATTCTCTTCGAGCAGTGAAGGTCTCGAATTCGACTCACTATAGTAAAGTCATGGATTATCACTAGGTAGAATATGTTTTTCAGTGACTAATGTCTCTCAAAGATTAATCAAAAACAATCTTTGATGTAAACTATAAAAACTTCCTTTCTGGATATCTTACTTCTATCCTTTGTTTATCTGAATAAACTGTAGCTTGCATCGAACTCCGAGTTTAGTTCAGAAACTTCGACGTCAAGCACTGTGCTAACTGCTACACCAAAGTTTTTACCACCTGTCAATAATAAGACTAGTCCTGAATCATCATGTATTAGTCAAGAACAATCCATAGACCATCATCATGGTAGTCATCAACATCACCAACATCGCCATCACCATCATCATCGGCATCATCGTCATTTGTCTCAACCACAACAAAAATGTTACTGTTCAAATCCTCTAACAACTTCATCTTCATTGTCATCATCACCTTCATCACTTACAACAAATCCTACTGAGAGTGAAACACATGTTACTACAATCAATGCTAATGACATACAAAACATGAATAATAACGCTAAAAATAACGAAACACCGAAAATAAAAGCAGAAATACATTCAGTCAAAGTGGAACAGGAAGATAATGCTACTGATGATGATATTATCACTACTACTAAAACGACTCTTAGAGATGACTGTGCCACCTAAAATGATTAAATCATAGTTACACAGATTCCTGTAAAGTAAGTCATTTTACATAAATGATGATATCTTACATTTTCCTATCATAGAGATGATTTACAATGCTGTTGATACCTTTGATTATTCAGTGACTCCCTAGTTGTGACTGGGCTCACTCCACTAATTACCAACTGGTTAGCAGTTGAACGTATTCTTACGGCGGCAGAAAGAGGGAGCCTCACATGATTCCCTTTTAAATATATATGTATACACATATAACAGTACGATGTTTTATAAATGAAAGCAAAACTCTAAGGAAAACATCTATTATTCGAAGGGAATTTACGTCTTGAAGTAACAAAACAATTTTAAGGATCGTTCAAAAATTAAAAGGCATGAAATACTTATTCTGTACCAGTTTCAAACTTGTCACAATCTCATACATGATGAAACCGAATAAATTTATATCATGTAATGTGAACAAAATGGATAAAACTCCTACCGTATTAGCAATAATAATAACAGTAACAGTAATAAACTTTGTATTATTTGTTTGAATCTTCCGCCAACGGGATGGCGGCTTGGAGTCGAATAGAAGATGGCGTTTCGTCCAACTCGAGGCTCTTCAGCTGGATGTACTCGCATCCCAGAGCTAATATTTACTTCAGGACTCGTACCCAGCACCATTTACTTCGAGTGAACATCAACTCTGGAATTTTGGTACATCAAGGTGACAAGTACCAAATAGAACGAAAGGCACGTCCCGGATACCATTACTAGAAAAGGTGAAGATTTACAAACTTCCTTGGTGTACTAATTTGATGTTTTAAATATTTAGGATCATAAAATATTGTAAACTTTTGATGAAAGCACGCGATTATATTATAAAGTCTACCTTACAAGCGCGGGAAAAATGATCTTTGAAAATAGGAGATATGCGTAGTCTGAAGAATTTGATCATAGTTGTTTGCAAAGTATTGCTCACACGTCGCAGAACGATCGAGTGAGTAATGCGGAGGTTAGTTATAGGGTACTACGCAAAGACGGAAATCAGTTGATGGGATTTTAAATCTTTTTTGACTGACGCAGTTAAAGAATATATTACGCATGTATAACCAGTACTTATCATAACTCATGATGTTAGCCAGTGTAGAAGTAGGTTAGAAGAAATTTGGCTTAGCCATAACGAAGAGTAATATCAGCCTATAAAGTCAGTAACTATTGAACAGCACCATGTAGGTAGATTCAGGCTACCTGCTAAGGGTCCACGAAATAATCGCAATCAGTCGTTGGATATACTGGGTAATAGGGATCAAAATTGGTTACAATGACACTCATTCACACTATCTTCATCTTCCCCTTCAACTTTATTTTCAGTATTTGCTTTAGTTATGTCGTTCCAGACCATATTCTAAGTTCATTGTTTATTTCATTATCAACTTAACAACATAATTTTGACTTCCTTGGCTATTCATTGTGTTTAAATTCATCTTGTGCAGATGCGATATATCAATCAATCTAGCCCACATTTTTTTGCAAGATCTATATTGGTCAGGACTGGCTATTTGTCACATCATAAAACGCCATGACTAACACCAAGTTAACTCACTTTACTAATTCATGAAAATTATTTGTATAGTGTGAAAATAATGAGTTATTTGTTACAATTAACTTTATTAATTGTAACAAACTTAAACGTCTACACTCAAAACCCAAGGTTCGAACCCCATGAGCGGGATCGTGAGTGCATACTGCTAAGGAGTCACACAATAGGACGAAACGGCTATCCAGTGCTTTCAGGTTTTCTATGTTAATCAATTGACTCATGATATCAACTATTCAAATTGTTTTTCTTAAATAATCTATTTCTTATTTCTTTCTTTCAGACAATTAAGAAAAATGAATGAAAATTAGTTTTCTAAACGTACTTTTACTTCTATATATTAGAGAATTATTCATTTATGTGAATTATTATTGAAAACTACCTCAATCTCATTATTATTACATCATTATTACTATGATTAATACTACTACTACTACCATTATTCAGTAGTTTGTCGTTTTTTTTAGCTGAAATACAAAAACCGCTCAAATTTACATTTGTAAACAACGACAATATCAATAACAATAATAATAATGTTATGCTACATTCCCTCTCTTGCCTCGTAACCAAACAAACTCTGTCCTCAGAGCTAGCGAGAGAAAGAGAGAGTGAGGGAGGGGAGAGAGAGAAAGAGGGAGAGTGATCAAGTGAAGGTGTGAGTGAGTGAGGGAGGGAGTGAGAGCGATTAGTTTATTCCATTGTATAGAAGCCAAAACCATATTTTCTATTATCATAAACTATTTTCTTTCTTTGTTTTTTCCCATTTTATTTGTGAATAATTTCTTTTTCAAGACAATGACAAAGTGAAAGAAACGAATCCGATATTGTTTTGACTAATTATTTTCTATTTATTTCTAATATTAAATAGTTATTGTTTATTCAAAATCTCATCTATTGGCTTGTTTGTTTGTTTGTTTTTTCTAAAACGTATTTCATTTACATTTTCAATATATAACATTGAATAAGATACTACTTATATTACTAAATAAACTCACATTTTTTTATGATGAAGATTTCAAATCAAATTTTAATTGTGACATATACATACATCATTGGAATAGTTCATGATGGTTTGCTGTGTTCTTAGTGATGGTGGTGGTGGCGGTAACGGTGGGTTAGTATCTAAGGCTTCGTTCGTTTGTTTTTTTTTGTTTCTTACTTTCAATTATTTTTTTCGAATTATATGATTGTATAAAATGAATTGATTCTTTTCTTGATTCTCTTATCTCTACACGCAACTTCCTTTTCTTCTTAAATCATTTTTATTATGATTTATTCACATGCAACATATATCGGTTAGATGATGATGATGATGATGATGATGATGATATGAAAACTTTAAAAAAACATCGATCGATGTTTTTTTGTTGTTGTTGTTGTTACTATGATTATGTTACTATGACAACAATGATCATCATTAATCCTATTAAGTTCTATTACTCAACTTTTTCCCAAATAAATATGATGATTTTCAACAACAACAAAAAACAGTAAATAAATAGAAATGATCATTATTTTTGTTTGTTTGTTTGTTTAATATATTCATGACAGAATTTACTTCATCATGTTGTAGATACTGATGTAAATAATTAAATGATCATTGAATATTTGATTCTAGTCATTTAGTTGTTTTTCATTTTCATAGTCAAATAGATTGCCAACATTTTTAGTGATTACGTCATTGCAATAATACTCTATTACATAATAATCGAATATATATAAATATACATTAATGTATATTCATTTTCTTGAATGAATATCGTTGAATGAATGATCATTGAGGTGAGATGATCCATCCAATTTTATCGTTGAATAACAAGTGGTTCTTTTTCATTTCTCTTCTTTTTTCTCTGTTTTTTGATATACACAATTATGATTTCCACCCCCACCCTCCTTTCATGTATATTTCTTATTTCATAACCATTAATAGTAATAAAAAAACAACGATTATAGTTTTATGCACAGATATTAAATTTAATTCATATAAGATTTATGTGAAATATATGAATATCTATTTTATATTGCTCTATTTAAATTTCTTCACAAATATGAAACCCCCCCTTTTTTTTGTTTGATCTCACTTATACAATCAACCAACCAACCATCCACCCAGTTACTCACTCCCCCACCCAATCAATTAATCACTAACTGTCTATCTCTTTGAATGTCTGTTGCCTTATTGATTCAAATCATAATGACATGAATTGAGTAATTTATTATTTTCTTCGAAAAAGAAATTCAATAATCATTCATTTTTCCTTTTTTTTCTTTTTTCTTCATTTCTTTATTTATAATATTCACTTACATAAGAAAAAAAATAAAAGAAGAAGAAGAAGAAGAACAAGGAAATAATTCGTTTCAATGAGAAAGAAAAAAAAGCAAGATGAGAATTTCACCTTTTTATTTCTCTCTTTTTTCTTCTTCTTTTGTTGTTGTCGTTGTTGCTCTTTTTCTTTTTCGTTTTCTTCTTCTTGACATAAAAAAACTTTGTAAACATTTAAATCTAAAAAGAAAACGGTTCTTCCAGATCTTCCTCCCTCTCTCTCTCTCTCTTTCTCTGTCTCTCTCTCTCCCTTATTAACTTTTGTTTATTATTCTCTTAATTCATACTTCTTTCTATTCGATGAATCTTTTGTTTTGATTTTCTCTCTTTAAAATGTGTACACATGACTCACTTATGTCTATATCATTATTCATTGAATAAAAAATCAATAAATCAATACCAAGATAATTAAAAAAATAATAAATTGATTAAAAAAATTCAGATTATATAATTAAATATATTATTGATTAATTATTGATTTTTTTTATTAAAAAGTTCGTATAAGGTTTGTGGAGATTACTAGGTTTTTTTGATTGAGATCATGAACTGATTGATATTAGACTACTAGTGAATAACTGGAGGCATTGAACGGTCATTTTGTCCTATTGTGGGAATTCTGAGCAGTGTGCATCCATGATCCTGTCTCGCGTGATTTGAATTCAGGACCTATCGGTTTTGCGCGCGAGCACTTAACCAACTAGACCACTGAGCCAGCTGTCTTCTAACAGTGTTAATGTCTAACTTCAACTAGTCCACAAAATTGAGAAACACATCCATCATTGTTATCAGTGAGTTACTATCTCATAACAGATCTGGTTGAACTCCACTGATCACTGCTTCTCACTAGAACTTTAGAATATACCCCTTGAAGCCAGTCACTAGTGAGCAAATGTTGATTCATATCAGAAGAGGCTTTGTGGATATTATAATAATACTAATGGTTGACATATTGAGTCAATTGAAGCTAAACCACCATGGAAAACCTAGATCGTGGATCCACACTGCTGAGAAGTCTCACGATAGGTAGGAACAGTTGTCTAGTGCTTTCAGGTTTTCCATGGCAGTCTAGTTTCACTGGACTCATGATCTTAACTATTGAAATCACTATAATATCCACAAAAACCCCTTCTGATGTTCTATCATGAATTGTGATGTTATAAATGAAACTGAAATTATTATTAACGCTTTGACTGAGAATTAAAAGAAAAAGATTATTCTCTCAATTGAATGATGGACAGATCATTCGATGATCAACATTATCATGAATGAAGGAAAACTAAATTCCTTAAAAAGTCTATGAGATTTTTAATTGATTTTTTACTCTCCCCCCCCCATCCCTTCTATTTAATCTTTGTAGTGTTGGTTGCTACGTCAAGCCCATATAGCATATTCTAGATTCCGGACAGGCCAATTTATTCATTCTTCTTGAGTCACATTTGGATCTTGTTGATTATTCACTTATCAACCCTGACCGTTTTTATCTGAGCCTATGTGTGTGTGTATATTTTATCCTACTCATCACATGTTTGTAGCTTAATGTTGTGTGACTATAAATATTGATTAACGTTTGATTAAATCGAGTTGACTCGTATACTTTCTCCACTGAGCGTCATTTCGTTTCGTTCTCTTCTCTTCGTTTCCTTCGCTTCATTCTTCCGATTGCCTTTCTAGATCAATGAATGTACACAATATATGTATTCGAAAATCCATTCTTGTATCCGTTATTCGCTTATGCGATCTAAGTCAATAATTATATAGGAGGATTGATGATATGTATATTTCAATAGCAATCTGAAGCGATCAAACTGGAGTCAGATATAGGGTCACAAAAGTGATGAGCCTATCGATAACATCGTCCGATCTAATTGACGTATAAATGTATGGTCCAACTAAAATCTCATTAGGTCTTATTAAAATTTAAGTTCATGATCTCAATCAAAAACTTAACAATCTCCACAACCCCATATACTAGTAATTAACATGTGCTCACTGGTGACTAGCTTCGTGAGGAAATTCTCGGAGTTCTAGTGAGAAGCCGTGAACAGTGGAGTTAATCCATGTCGGGTAGTGACAGTTATCTACCTCAGTACAATAGAAGATGAACGCGCAATTTCGTGAATTGGTTGGTGTTAAACACTATCACCATTGGATGCCGGCTCAGTGGTCTAGTAGGTTAAGCGTTCACGCTCAAGACCGAAGGCCCTGGGTTTGAATCTCGCTAGCAGGATCGTGGATGAGCACTGCTGTGGAGTCCCACAATAAGACGAAACGGCTGTCCAGTGCTTCTATGTTTCAATGGTGACCTAATATCAATCGGTTCATGATCTCAATCAAAAAACTTAATGATCTCCACAACCCGTATACTAGTAAACATTCTTTACTCTGATAATCTGTAGAATAAGCAACCTCCCCCCCAAAATTGCAATAAATTTGCTTAGAATTAACCTAATATTTAAAATTTATGGATTATGGTTAGCGAAGTAATTTTAAAAAACGCTTTGTTTCAATCAGCGTTTGTTAGTTGTATGTATATTTGCATCTCAGTGTTTATTTTTTGCTCATCGGGACTCGAACCTTGTACTTTTTTATAACTTTAAATGTTAAAGTGTTATCTGATGAGCTACTGAGTCTAAGTATTCACTAACTTGTTCAAACAGTATGATGTCAACATCGATATTAGTGTGATTTTGATTGATCCCTACATTCCACTATCTATTTCGAAATGTCCACATGATGAAAATCCTCACTGAGCTCAAATACGTCAACAATTATCTATCAAAATTTAATCCTTAATACTAACTACGGGATAACATAATGTAATTATATTGCTCAATGAACACAATAATGACTTTCTGAATCGAGAAGCTCAATAGATAATACGTTGGAGTTTGAAACAAAATGTATTATGATTGAGATCATGAACCGATTGATGTTAGACCATCATTAAAAACAAGGAAGCACTGGACGGCCGTTTTGTTCTATTG